TTGGTCCAATCAAGATACCTATCCTTCCATAACAAACTACAGAACCATCCGAATCCTCTCGTTTCAAACCTTGCTTCCTCCTCGATCCCTGATAACCCTCAGAGGTGTCTGAAAAGAAGATGGCCTCGGGACCTTCTAACATAGAACTTTAATTTGAGTTCTACCAATGGGTAGTTTCTCTTCATATCGTACATGTCCTTTTACCAATGTCACATTTACTTGTTGTACTTTTCATGTAATACAGTTGTAAATTTCATTAAAATAAAAAAAAAATCGATATGAGGGTTGATAATTAGGTTTTAGGGGGAGCTTTTTATGAAAAGTATAATTTAATTATAAATTAAATCCGAAAAGTGACAAAAAGTAGTGGCCCGGGGGCGCGATCTCAAATCTGAAAGTATTTTCATAAAAAGCACCCCCCAAAACATACTAGTCGACCCTCTTATCGATTAAATCCAAAAGGTTACAAAACGTCGGTGCCCGGGGGCGATATATATAAATGCTGAAGACCATTTTCAAAAACACTACTCCTAAAACACATAAACAGAACTAAATATCGAAGGAATTCTTATAATTACAATAAAATTATTTGAATCGTATTTTTATCTTAAATAATAGATAATGGATAATGCAGGTTATTTGTAAATAACAAATAAGTATCTGTCCAAAGATCGTCGAATAAGAAATAACGAATAAAAATGTATCTATTATTCGTTATCTAGATAAAATTTCAAAAAAAATTATTTAAATAACGCCCAATACTGTGTACGACTATTAATTATTAAACTGTTATTTTTCGTTGCAAAGTTTATTAAAACGAAATTAAGAGATTCACATTGCCTGTCATAGGCAGGTCAGAAGTTGCCACACTAATTGTATGTGGATTCTGTTGGAATATCGCAAAGGGAAAATTTATCTAATTATTCTCTAATTTGATTTTCTAAAAGGTTACATAATGATTTTTCGGAATAAACGGACGATAGATATCTAATTATTTAAATATGATGTCAGATCTAGAGTTATTAAACTACAGTAAATATATTTAACGTTATAAACGTATCCATGAAATATTTTTATATTTCACTTTTTCCTTAACACAAGTACAATGAAATAGTATCTTAAACAATGTCATTGTCTTGAATCCGTGGGTTTTAAATACTTTCTCAAACTTAAATAAAGTTTACATTTAGTAAGAACTTTGAATACTTTCTATAAACTTACTACAAACTTAAAAATATTTTTTAAAGTTTACATTTAGTTAGTAAATTTCATTTAATTTTCTTGAAAACACTTGATTTATGTTACATAATGTTAGTTTTTAGAACTTATTATTTATAATTTTTTTTCGTCACTCTTCGTTAGCTTCCACAACTTTTTATACTATATATTGTGTTTTTTTAATTCTCCGCTTTCCAACTGTGAAATTTTCTTACTAAATGAAAACATTTTTTTTAAGTTTGAAAAAGTATTTAAAACCAACAGATTCAAGGCAATGACTTTGTTGAAGTTACTTTTTCATCGTACTTGTGTGAAAGAAAAAGTGGAATATAAAAAAAATTCATGGATACGTTTATAACCTTAAATATACTTACGGTAGTTTAATAACTCTAGATGTGATATTATATTTAAATAATTAGGCATCTATCGTCCGATTATACCGAAAAAGCATTATGTAACCTTTTATAAAATTAAATAACTTTAAAAGTTTAAATTTAGTAACAAAATTTTATTTAATTTCCTTGAAAACATGTTATTATTTATATTTTGTTCGCCACTATTCGTTACCTTCTACAACTTTCCATGTTAGATATTGTTTTTTTCTAAAATTGTGCGCTTTCCAACGATATATTATACGTATCCCTTCTGATAAAAATTTCCGGAGATTCACTTTCGACCTGTATAAGTATTTTTATATATTTTTCCTTTATTTAATTTACAAATTCTTCCAAAAGTTATATTTAGCATTTTCCGCAACTCCTAACAATGATAAATAGTTATTATTCATAATAAACCAAATTAAAGTTACTTTAGAGGAAGATATGATAATGTTGGGATTTCGCAAAGGGAAAATTGGAATGAAGAGGACATTCCTATAAAGATGGTATTAAATTAGTAACAAAGTAATGAAGATACAGAACATGAATGTTAGGTTATTATTGGAAAAATTCCGAATGGCACAGCCTTATGTCTCCGAAATGCAGGCTATTATAAAATTTTTGAATTGCATTTTTAGTAGCGGATACTGTTGTAATATCACATAGGGAAGATTCATCAAATTATTAACTAATTTAATTTTCTAAAAACTAATATGACAATTTTTCGGAATAAACTTTGATACCTAATTATGTAAATATAATATCAGACCTATAATAACTAAACTACAGTAAATATATTTGAGGTTATGAACATATGCTTTACACATCCATGAAATGATTTTATATTTTACTTCTTCTTTATATCACTGGGCGTGGAGGGACCGCCCTGAATTAAAGCTACTTTAGAGGAAGACGCATATGAACATATCCAAGTCCTGTAAAGTGAAATAAACGAGAATAAGACCTAAATGATATAAACCTACGTAATTATACAATGTTACACCGAGTTTAACCAAAATTGTTAGAGTTGTTTTTGAGAAAATTGTAAAAATGTATTTCAGCTTGATATAAAGTGGCACTTCCGGTTAGCCGATTTTAAGGAAAAAGTTACCAGGACATTTAGGGTATATATCTATCTTAAAAATGTAATATCGGTTTCGTACGACTTTTCAGTTTGGAGCTATAGTGTTCACATTTACACAGACACAAACAGACAAACAGACACATTACACACTATTTTTCGAGACTTGGTTATTTGGACACAGGGGACCTCAAAACGTGTATTTCCGTTGAAAACTCTGTATTGAACTCCGTTGAAATATTACATACTTTGTATCGAACTAGAGCCTTTGAGCTCCTACTTTCCATTTTAAATTAACAAGAATCAGTACGATAGGAAATCGCCCGTAAGCAAGCGATAGGATATTTAGCAGCGTAAATATGTCTAATTTGGAACACGCTAAATATAACACCCTATTATCAAATATATTCTTAAACTGTTTGTTATTCTCTAATAAAAGACTTTTGTTATATAAGTTTAATAACAATAAGCCTTTCTATTAATTAACTAGGAATCAGTATACTTAGAAAATACACTTAATAGTGCTATAATCATTGCATTAATGTTTGTTTTTATTAACGATCAGATATTAATACAATAATTGAATTGTCTAATTTTTCATTTTTTTTTTTTTACTTTAACCATGTTGAAAGCTCGATACTTCGCTTCCTGTTGGGTTTAGAAAAAAATATTATGTACAAAAATGTTGGATAATTTTAAGCTGTTTAAGATTGAATATAACCATTTTTATATATGTTGTCAATATAAAAAGGGAATATTCAGAGTAAACCAAAAAATGTTCGAAATTTCAATGGTTTTTGAAGCACTACAGCGAATCCATAAAGCTTTCAAGGGCCAAAACTTGAATTATTTATAGTCACTGCATACCTAACAATATAAAAAAGAAATTTGAATTATCCGAACTTTTGCAAGGTATACCTTTTTGTGCTAATTTGACTGGGCTATTGTTATTTACAATTAATATCATTTTCTCTTGCTTTTTTTGACCGATTTTTAATTTGTTTTTAGCTCTGAAAATGAAACTGATTAATCTATATATATAAAAATGAATGTATGTCTGTCTGCCCGTCTGTTTGTCCTTAGTGCATTACTAAACCATTCAACCGATCGCCACGAAACTTTGGGAAGTTGTTCCGTACACTCCTGGGAAGGTTTCTGGCATAGTACTTCTGTCTTACGATAATTTTATATATGTAAAAAAAATAAAAATGGAAATGTTTTTCTGTTCAAAGCTGCAAAAAATGTGTCGCTATAAACTGTAGTGCAATAACGGCTTTACCAATTTTAACGAAACTTGGCTAAAGTCTTCCCCTTTAAACCCTTTTAATTTATGTGTATAACATACTTTCCCGAAAACAAGCAGAAAAATGTTACGATGAATTCAATATTTTATTTGACGATAACTAAAAAAGTACAGAATTTTTGACTGATAATACCCAGATTTATTTGAAAGATTCCTGATTTGTCGACAAAATAAAAAAAAATCATCGAAATCGGATGGTTCGTTGCAGAGTTATTGAGTTTTAAACATTTACTGCTTTCTCTTCAGAAATGGCCATTTCCTTTTGCTTCCTCACTACCGAACGTCGGCAAGCATTTTTTGTTATTTTTTTATTGATTAATCTTAAATTTTATAATTACTACAGTAAATGAAATTATCATTTGAAGAATTTATATGATTCCCCTTATGTAGGTCAATACTATTGTACGTTTTTTTAATTAATTTTTTTATTTAGTTTTATAAGTTCAACTCAGACTGTTTCTGATGATTATGAATGACGGCCTATTTACTCAGATGATTATGAATGTTCAATTTGAATCATGGGGAAAAAAACAATTAGAATTTGTTTCTATTGAAGCCATTTTACAGACAAATTTGTTTCTCAACTTTTAAAAATGACAGATGTCCTTTGCTACTAATCTACTCATATGTGCTTTCTATTTTCTTTCTTTTTCATTTCTACAGGCTAAGCCACAGCAGCGCGTGGCCGGGTAAAGCTAGTAAAGTAATAAAATTCTGATATAATTCGGACAATCTATAAATAATTAAGTATATGCGTGTGTGTTTGTATGTACATTAACAAATGTAAACAAAATATCATGAGTAAATAAAATTATTAGAGCTAAATGGAATGGTTATCTAACGATAACATTTTACTGAACAGTCATGTTACGGTTATAAAAATGACATTAAAGTATAAATTAATAACATCAAACTGCAAATATTGCAACGTAACATAATCAAACATTTTTATTCACTTTATATTTCAAAGGAATTTGGAAGATGAAATCATAGGAACATGGTAAAACGGTAAGTAGTTCATTTATTTTAAATCAGTTAATTTGTGAATTTTCACCCAGAGTCCTTTTTTAGATGAAACAATTAGAGACCAAGGATCAATTTCGATTTTTTCTCCATTTAATGGACTCAATTCAAACCAGTACCTCTCCAATAATCTAGCCATAATGATTTTAATTTCAACAATAGCAAACCTTTTTCCTGAAAACAAAAAAAAAACACACAAAATTGAGCTCATTAATTATTAATATTGTAAATAGTTCTGAAAATACATAATTTATACTATATTAATTCAAAAATAATTCAATATAATTATTAGTAACAATCATTCCAATAATGAAAAATAGAAAACTACTTTAAAAAATAATAAAACATACCTATGCAAATCCTAGGACCATCGCCAAAAGGTAAATAAGTTCCGTTTTGAGGATCAACTTCAAATCTGTCAGGGTTGTACTTTAAAGGGTCAGGGAAATATCTAGGATCTCGATGAATTGAATAGATTGGTATAACTATTTGTTCCCCTTTCTTAATAAGAGTACCATCTTGAAATGTAAAGTCTTTAGTGCACTCCCTATTTAACATAGCCACCGGTGGATACATTCGCAAGGTCTCTGAAAATGAAAAAAACACATTGCTCTTCACATTTAAATTAACATTAATGCAACCATTCAACTGTAATCCATAATTAAAAATGTTTATTTTTAATTCCAGACCAAATAACATAAATTGCGATATTAAAACTAAAATGTAATAGCTTCAATACCTGCAATACATTTGTTCAAAAATTTCATGTCCTTGAGAGCATCATAAGAAAATCGTCCATGTTTAGCTTTGATATCTAGAACTTCCTTCCTTGCTCTTTTTTGGAATTCCTGGTGTTCTGCAAGTTGGTGAATAAGAAAATGCAAGGTCCTGGAGGTCGTTTCAAACCCAGCTACGAAGAAAACAAATGACTGTGCCACAAGTAGAAGGTCTGTTATCTCTAAAATAATTAACAAATATCGAAATGATCCAGCTTACAAATAAAACTTCGCAATTAAAATTCAAATAGTATTGACAGATATAGAAGTACTTACTACACCTATAAGTGACAAAATAAACGATAATACAAATAATGATGTAGAGATGGTTGACCGTTGATATGATATGAGAAGGAATTAGTCGAGGGTGCGGTCAAAAAAAATAAAAAAATTAAAATATATAAATAATTTTAATTTTTGCCGACGTTTCGACCCACTTTGCAGGTCGTCTTCAGGGCTACAAAAGGTACAAACATGTTGAAAATATAAAAATAAAATAAAAAATAAATATAAGTATATATAAATTACGAAGAAGTTGTCAGATACAGAAATAAAAGATAAAGAAAATAAATACATGATAAGAAAATAGATAAAAGAAAATAAATACTTGAATGTTAAGGAATAAATGAATGTTAACGAATAAATAGATTGAAAATTGAATAACTATTGTTACAGTAAAGTTAAAATATGGATAAGATAACATAATAATAAGATATCAGTGGATAACAAGCAAGTGGAGGTTACCTTTAATTGTAAATAAACAGATAACGGGACCAAAGGTTAAGAAGTGAAGAAATTGAAAGATTAATAGGGTAACATTAGAGTAATATTGTTGGGATAGATTATTAAGTAAAACTTTTACGTTTACGTTTTACTTAATAATCTATCCCAACAATATTACTCTAATGTTACCCTATTAATCTTTCAATTTCTTCACTTCTTAACCTTTGGTCCCGTTATCTGTTTATTTACAATTAAAGGTAACCTCCACTTGCTTGTTATCCACTGATATCTTATTATTATGTTATCTTATCCATATTTTAACTTTACTGTAACAATAGTTATTCAATTTTCAATCTATTTATTCGTTAACATTCATTTATTCCTTAACATTCAAGTATTTATTTTCTTTTATCTATTTTCTTATCATGTATTTATTTTCTTTATCTTTTATTTCTGTATCTGACAACTTCTTCGTAATTTATATATACTTATATTTATTTTTTATTTTATTTTTATATTTTCAACATGTTTGTACCTTTTGTAGCCCTGAAGACGACCTGCAAAGTGGGTCGAAACGTCGGCAAAAATTAAAATTATTTATATATTTTAATTTTTTTATTTTTTTTGACCGCACCCTCGACTAATTCCTTCTCAGATAATACAAATAAATTCAACAACTCCCAACCGACATATTTGCTACAGCACATACGTATCTTATTAAGGGAAATATATTTTAATAAAATTAAAATTGCAATATCGGACGTAATTAGGTATTTAGGTTTTTACCTGGACAAAAGACTTGCTTGGAGGACTCACATCAGACAAAAATGAATAGAATTAAACAGACGATATGGTCTTTTATCCAGATTACTTGACAGACGTTCGAAATTATCTTCAACTAACAAACTAACCCTTTATAAAGTTTTACTTAAACCTATTTGGATTTACAGCATTGAACTGTGGAGTTCTGCTAAAACTTCCAGCATTAAAAAAGTTCAGTCCTTTCAGTCAAAAGTGTTGTGAAGAATAGTTTTATGTCGCAAATGATACACTACATAAATACTTAAGCGTACCTACAATTTTAGATACTGCAAAGGAGAAATACAATAACTTTCACCAAAGACTGACGTACAACATGAATCCCCTGACAGAAATTCTTCATCGTACAAGAAACCCGTACAGCCCACTACGAAGATTACGTAGGCGTTGGCCAAGAGACCTGCTGATCTGATTTATATTCCGGACGTAATGGGAAGCTGTGAAGCTGAAAAAAAATTTGCTCATTGCAAAGAAATTTGCGGATTGCAAATTTAATCAAATGTTCTACATTTTTGTTTCGTTAATAAATAAATTAAGGAAAAAATGCGGAGCAAGATCGAAGTGGCAAAGGACTAGGACTTTACACCCATAAGATAAGATATATTACAACAAATCAACAAACCAACTAAAAGCTGAAATTAGAAAATTCAAATTTCAAAATTTACTTAACATGACAGAAAAGCTTACTACTTCTGAAAAATCACTATGGTTGACCACTAAAAAGCTCCTTAAATTTAAAGCTTTTAACCACCCATTTATTACTGAAACCCAAACCTAGTCCAGATCTGACGAAGAAAAATCTCAAATATTTTCTCAGCACCTTTTCAAAACCTCTAATCCACATCCAGATATCCTTAATCCAATCCGCCTTGAGTTTATTGAAGCAGAATTGGATATCAATCTCCAATTGACTCCTCCGCCTTAAGCATTTCATCCGTCAGAAATATCCAATATCATTCATAGATTACCTTCCCGCAAAGCTCCTGGCCATGACTTAATCACATCCCAGGTCCTAAAACTGCTTCCTCAGAAAGCCATACTATTCCTCACCTATATATATTGTTGTAATCTGAACCACATATTTTCCTGACTCTTGGAAACTATTCGTAGTCCAAATCATACCTCAGCCCATAAAGCCGTTAGAATATCCATCCTCTTATTGTCCTATCCCTCTTTTACCCATTATTGACAAAGTCCTGGAAAAACTCATCTTAAAACGCCTGTATCCTAGACTCTAAACATATAATCTCAGATCAATAATTTGGATTCCGCACATCCCATTCCACTATTCAGCAATGGCAACATGTGGTGGACGTATACTTCTCTGCATTGGAACGCGAAATGTACTGCACGAGTCTTTATCGACGTTGAACAGGCGTGACTGATGAACAAACTCCGTATATTCCTACCCCCTACATACTTTCTCATTATCCGTTCCTACCTTACTGACAGATACTTCAAAGTAAATCATAACAATGCTCATTCATCTCTTTTTTCTCAGTTTGCTGGTGTTCCTCAAGGTAGTATCCTTTACGCCTTTTATACCTACCTTTTATATCCTTAGTATCCTATCCTTTAAGCAGGTTATACCGACCAAGCCAATGAAATTACCCTTACTCTTTGTCGTAAACTTATGACTTTCCTGTCCTACAGTATCTTTTAACAATACCATGCTTATCCCTGTAGAATCAATCCGATACCTAGAACTCCACCTGGACAAACGGCTCACTTGGAATCCTCATTTAAGACTGAAACGACTAGAAACTGCCCAACGTTTTCGACTACTTCAGCACTTACTAGACAAATGCTCTAAACTTCCAGTATTTATGTAGTGTATCATTTGCGACATAAAACTATTCTTCACAACACTTTTGACTGAAAGGACTGAACTTTTCATATATATTACTATAATAAGGCCTATTTGGACTTACGGGATAGGGCTTTGGGGCTCTACTAAACCATCAAATTTCCCTCGTATCCAATCCTCATAATCCAAAATCCTGCGTAAAATACTCAATGCTCCCTTCTTTGTCACAAATAAAACTATCCATATTGAGCTTAATGTACCATACGTTTCCGATTTAGCTCAATCCAGATACATATCCTTCCATAATAAACTTCTGAACCATCCGAACCCATTTTTTTGCTAATCTTGCTTCCTCTTCTACTCCTGATAACCCTCCAAACGTCTGAAAAGAAGATGGTCTCTGGACCTTCTAATATAGAAATATAATTGGAGTGCTCCTAATGGGTAGTTTCTCTTCATGCTGTACATACCATGTTACTAATTTCATATTTACTTGTTATATTTATCATTTAATACAGTTGTGAATTTCAATGAACAAAAAAAAATTTATAAAACGAGTTGTTGTAACGTTATATTTTAGAAACCAAAGAAGTTACGATGACCAATTCGCACCATCCCAAATTTTTTTAAATGATGGTATGTTTTTACTGATATGTTTGCTCATTTTCAACTTATTACAATTTATTCCATGATTATTAAACACAAAATAAAAGTCTTATACTTGCCGATTTTTTCAGTAACGGTCTCTTCGTGTTTTCCTTTCTCATCGCCAACATCATAGTTTGAATTGATCTCCACGATTTCCTTGTCCTTTAATTGTAGTAACAATTGTACGAAATCTTTTCGTTGAAATCCAGTCTTTCTCCTATATTCCAAAACATCACTCATAGTTGTACAAAAGAAATTCTTTGCATGAGAAGGTACAGATGGTACCTTGAGCCATATTAGAAGGCGAGGAATCGAAAATCTCAAAAGAAAAAAAAATTGACTCAGATTAAACTTCGATGTGTCAAAAAGATCTCGACCCACTTGCCTCATTTTGGAATTTGGATTTTTTATGCTGTCACCTTCGAGTCCAAAAGCACAAGATTCTGAAACAATGCAAAGTCAATTAAGAGAGACATGTATCAAAAGTATGTAAAAACTGAAAAATTTGTTAATAAATTTTAGTATGTTAAAATGAATATCAAATCCTAATTTAAAAAACTAAATTCTCTAGTCAAACTATTAATTACTATAATCAAAATTAATCATTAAACAATTCGCCAAATTAAATCATCTTTTAATTCACAGGTTAACATGAATGAACTCAAGTCATTGAGGTGAAGTATTATCTTTAGAGCATTTGTTTGTCTGCATTGAGTATTAGGGTATAGATACCAAAATAAAATATAGCTCAATTTATCATTCCATCAAGTAGTAGAAGATAAAAAGTAGCCAAATAAAGTAAAAATATGAGAAATCACTTGTAGGTTAATTTTTAATCATTAATATCTTGAACGATTGACGTTAAACCTTGAAGTTAGCACTTCACTTAGATTTAAAGGTCATAAAATTTCAAAGAATTGTATATTCGATTGTACAGACACAATAAAAACGATAACAAAAAAATCTGGTGCGCGCAACACACAACTTTCACTTACCACTCAACTTTGAATACAAATTATTTTATGGCCATGTTGGGCTATTATAAAATGTTTGAATTGCATATTTAACCGAGATAAAGTTAAAAGCTTACAGCTAACAAATCATAAATGCTATTAAAATAACAAAAATCCAATTTATTATATCAACAATATTGTTGATATAATATTTATTTATTGGTTGATATTGGTTAATATTTATATTATTGGTTGATTATGGTTTGTACGATTCGTTGATTATGGATTGTTCGATCCGTTGATTATGGATAGTACGACTATTATTTATTAAATAGTTATTTTCCATTTCAAAGTTTGCTAAAATAAAATTAAGGGATTTACATTGTCTGTCATAGATAGGTCAAAAGTTGTCACACTAATTGGAAGAAGATAGTGTTAGAATATCTTAAATATTTTATATATTGTTTCCTTTATTTAATTACCAAATTCTTCCAAAAGTTATATTTAGCGTTTTCCGTAACTCCTAACAATGATAAATAGTTATTATTCATAATAAAACAAATTAAAGGTACTTTAGGGAAAGATATGATAATGTTGGGATTTCACAAAGAGAAAATTCATCAAATTATTCATTAATTTAATTCTCTAAAAGGTTACATGATGATTTTTCGGAATAAACGGACGTTGATACCTAATTATTTAAATATAATATCAGATCTAGAGTTATTCGAGAACACTAACAAAATACAGTATATACATTTAAGGTTATATACATACACATGAAATATTTGTATATTTCAAATCTTTTTTAACACAACTACAATGAAATAGTGTCTTAATCAGTGTCATTCCGTGGATTGTAAATATTTTTTTAAACTAAAAAAATGTTAAAAGTTTACATTTAGTAAGAAAATTTCTTTTAATTTTCTTGAAAATCACATTAAATAATGTTAGTTTTTAGAAATTATTATTTAAATTTTTTTCGCCTCTTTCCGTTACCTTCTACAATTTTCTATAATAGATATTTTTTACTTTCAAGGATAAGTATTCCGATCGTCAAATTTTTTGAATCTGAGTTTTCAACGGAAATATATAATAACGTAATAAACATGTGTATGTGTCTGTGAGTCTGTATGTCTGTGTGTATGTTAGCAGCCAAGCTCAAAAAGAAAATTCGTACGAAACTGATATTACGTATTTAAGATAGGTATATAGACACAGGACGATTTACGGGGGGGGGGGGCTTTCGGGCTGAAGCTCCCCTTCCCCTCCCCCCCAAAATAGTAAAATTTAACCATATTTTATAGAAAAAAAAATTAAAAACTATCTCTTAAAGTGTTATTGTTCATGTAATTACATTTAATAGGACTTCAAGAATCACTAAGACACCATGTCATATGGGTAGTTAGTTTCTTTTTTACTTTCACTTACGTATATATGTAATATATAGTAAGTGTAAGTATTGCGATCGAGAAAATTTTTGAATCTGAGTTTTCAACGGAAGTAGACGTTTTGAGGTACCCTGCTGAGTCGAAATGACCAAGTCCCGAAAAATGGTCTGTGTGTCTGTGTATTTGTATGTTAGCAGTCTAGCTCAAAAACGAAAAGTCCTACGAAACTGATATTACGTATTTAAGATAGGTATATGCCTTAGATATGACGGCAACTTTTTCCTTAAAATCGCCTAACCGGAAGTGCCACTTTATATCAACGCTGAAACACATTTTCACAATTTTCTCAAAAACGGCTCTAACGTATCGTTGTATAATTAAGTGGTCTTTAATATCAATTAGGTCTTATCCCAATTGATGTCACTTAACAGGGCTTAAATGCCCAATGTTCATATACGTCTTCCTTTAAAGTACCTTAGATATGGTTTATTTTAAAAAGTTAATCATTTCACATTATTCAAAGTAATGAAAAAATGCTAAATATAACTTTTGAAAGAATTTGATAAGTTAATAGAGGAGAAAAAAAAAAAGCAGAAAAACCTACGTTTTTCTTAATGAAACTTCGCTAAAGTCATTTTCTCGACACTCTTTAAATTTATCTATATAACATACTCCAATGAAAAGAAGCTGGAAAAAAAGTTACAAGCGATGTTAAAATTAAATTCCGAATAACTCAAAAAGTATAAACTTTTTGGGTGATATTATATATGGTTTTTTAAAAGTTCATGGAATTTCCTAAAAAAAAAACAAAAAAAATCGTTAAGATCGCACAACTAGGAGGAAATATATGGTCTCTGGTTTTTTCCCTGAAGAGGCGAAAATTTGGGTAAATTTAAAATTTAAAATTTTAAAATTTAAAACTATTGTAATTGTTGAGACTAAAAAAACTTTTTTTCTACACTTATTTAATAAAGTATCTTTCCTATGAACATTTTTCATAAGAAATAAGTACCTAAATTTATACCTTTATTTTTAGTTCTATATTTCAATATTGCAATCATAACCTCCGGAATCAACTTACTCATATTCTGCATAGATAACTCTTTCAACTAAAAATATTTCTAAAATGATATCACTTAAAAATATTGAAATCGGCGTTAGTCATTCTGAAGTTTTTAAAAGCAAAGAAAGTTGTGTGGTTTATAAAAGCAGATGGAGTGACTAGATTTTTATTGCCTGTTGTCGATATATGAAATAGACGTTTTGTAATTATAATGGTTTTAATGAATTGTTATCTGTAAGTTCAATTACAGATAACAATTCATTAAAACCATTATAATTACAAAATGTCTATTTAATATATCGACAACAGGCAATCAAAATCTAGTCACTCCATCTGCTTTTATAAACCATCTACTTTTTTTTCTTACCCTCCAATAAACATTTTGGAGGGTAAGAAAAAAAAAAAAAAAGTTATCTGTAAGCTTTAAGCTTTAGCTCCGTTTAAAATGCACTTCAAAAAAATTTATTATAGCCCAGTATTGCCAGAAAATAATTTCTATTCATAGTAGATCGTTAAGTGAAAGTTGTGTGTTGCGCTCACCAGATTTTTTTTTTTCAAATTAATTATCGTTATATATATGAAAAAAAAATCCTTCGGGTTGAAGCCCCCCCCAAAAATTAAATCCTGTATCCGCTAGTGGTCTTAGACGTGACAGCAACCTTTTCGTTAAAATCGGTTAACCTGAAGTGTCACTTTATATCAACGCTGAAACACATTTTTACAATTTTCTCAAAAAGGGCTCTAACGATTTTGATTAAACTGTTTTCTAAAACTGTAACTTTCCCTTTATTATTTATTATTGTGTTGTTCATAAACGTGACGATGCTCCTACTTGCCCTACTCGTTGTTTAATTTCAACAGCGTTACTAATAAACTGACTGAAATAGACTAAGACGAACCATGACTATGAATAACCACAGTACTCCCAATTCCCCACCCCACTTTTAAAATGCACTCTGTGCAGTACAAGAGTTCATGTTCAAGCCTCGTACTACCGCTCTGTTCTAAACACCACATCATATGGGGTTAAAAAAAAAATAAAAAATAAACAAAACCAAGATGGAATGATAAAATAATCGGTCGCTAACCAGGTTTCTACTACACATATTGCCATTATATTATTATTATTTGAAAGTGAACTTATGTTAAGTAAATTTGGTAACCTTTGATATTGTTAAATATTATCTTATATGTACTGTTAGTATGGTCAAATGAAAAATTAAAATTATGTTGAAGCTCGAGCAGCCTTTCTGATGGTTGATGGTTATGAAGTCACGAGTCTTTTCCTGAAGGACGACCGCTGAGAGAAGTAGATCTAGGCCAAAACTCGAACTCTTTCAATCTTTCATTCATCATTATTTTTTTTCTACAATTAGTTGTCTTGCTAAATAGCAGGTGAATTTTTAACATATTTTGCACATCCTTCAGACGACATAGATTGCCCCTAACTTTGAAAACACCCCTTCTGTATGGCACATGTTTGTCTAAAACTTTTAATTTATTAATACGACTAAAAATTTTTCTTCCTGTGACCTGTCATGGCTTACTATATAATCATTACTGGCTAGGGCGCCTCTTATCTTCATTATTGCTTGTTTAACCTTATAATTATTGAGGAAACCAAGATTGGTCGTGGTTCCCGACCTTTACCAATTCGAAAACAGTCAATATAATAGCTTATATTGGTAGTTCGGCATTAACTTCCTGGCTCACATTAAATAATTTTTTGTTCCATATGTTTTTCCTTCAGATTAGAAACTTCAGCCAGTAAAGAGTCAAGAATTATTGATATTTTATTAGGCGAGCTTTATGATTCTTCGTTATTACGATTATTAACCTCCAACAAATCCTCGTTAGTGACCGTCATTGTTATAAAAGAGTTTAATAAACGATAGAAATAATTTATATTTGCAATAATAACAAACACAGCTGATTAACCTTGACCGTAAAGTATCTAGCGAAGTAGTGTTGGGGGCTGGCGAGATATATCTTTCCTATATTCAGAGATAAGGGAATTGGGAACTTATTGCGAAATACTTCTCCTTAACTCCTTTGTATCTCCGTTAGTTCTTGACGTATCTCGCTCAAAATTCGAACTAGTATTCTATAATACAAACTGCACTAGCAAGTAAAAAAATTTAATTGGCTCAATACAACTTTTCAAACGTAAGATAAGCGCAGAGCTGATCTAACACAGTACACGGCCAAAACCAGACTCCAAAAAAATATATAAGTTGGGGAGATACGTTTACCCTAGGTAACTTTTTTTCTATTCTCCATAACTTCTAGAATAACAATTATTTTTAAAAGTTCAAAATTGATTTGTCATCTTTTGAAGATACTATATTCATTTTGTAATTATTTTATCATTAAATTTTGATTATAAAAAAAAATTTCAACAATAATAAATAGCTCAAAATACAATTAGAATAATTAAGGAATGAGATAGTCCAGGGTGGCGGTCATAAATAGACTAAAAAATGGCAAAACTATTTTATTAAAAGCCAAAGTTTCGACCCGATTTTGCAGGTCTTCTTCAGGGCTAGAACGGACAAGATTAGTGTGGCCCAAAATCGGTCTTGGTCTAGCACTTTGCAAGACCAAAGCTGCCCAATTGTTGCGAGACCAAGACCAGGACTTGTAAAAAATATCGATTTTTTAAATAAAAATTAAGTTCAATAGTTACTAATACTCCACAATTTTAGTTAATATATGTCGATAATTGGTATAACCAACACAATTTTGCATTTAACTCATCTATTTTTTCATTTGGACTTCGTTAGGTTTCTCCTGTCTAAAAAATTTCAGTAATATATCTATAGTAATAAGCTAATAAGTAACTGCAAGACTGTGGCGAGACTCTTGCGCAAGACCAAGACTCGTCTCGGTCTAGCATTTGGGTAACACTAGACAAGATACAAAAAGATATAGAGAATTGTGGAAGTTACAAGATTTTTCTAATAAAGTTGTAAATATAATGAATAAATGAATATAGAAAATAAATTTAGAGTACATTTTGGTACATCTCAAAAGATTTCTTCATTCTTTGATAGCTTATATTAGGTATTTAAGCCCTTTTAATAACATTTTGAATTATTGCTTTCATTGGATATTCGTTTTATCAATCACAAGTGATGAGTTAACTTTTTTTTGATGAGTTTTTAGCAACTATTTTCTTCTTCTCCTACTATTTTTTTCATCTGCCCCAATTTTATTTATTTTCCGCGTGCCAGTATAATTCTGCACTTTATTTTCACTTTCTTATTCTCTTTTTCCTGTTGTTTGTCAGTTTTTATGCTCGTTTTTTAAAGCAGCGGCTCTGGAACGGTAGACAAGGTTCTTTTTATTCAGAATAACAAATACTTTCGTAATTTACAATCAAACCTTCGCCTGCGATGAGGTAGATTTTCGGGCCCTGGCTGCCAGGGCTTTAAGGCCGGCACTGGTTGAGGAATTCCATGGTAACTTGTTACCCTGAGGATCTGTTCGAGTATGTTTCTTAGTTACAATTGAGGCTTATTATCTATTTAATTAAGTATTTTTCTAAATTATGAAGATGAGTTTGGAGGGTATTTCTTATTGTTATTAGGAATTTGAGCTCTTAAAAAAAACTGCTGAGTCGTCAGTAAACTTAACTATAGAATAAATGAGAATTGTATGATGTCATGTAAATAAATGATAAAGAGGATGGGAGAAAGGACTGAACCTTTAAAGAATATTAGCTAAATATTGTTGTGGAATTTCGATATGATTTGGTCTTATAGTTGAATTAATGTTGTATATTATTTTTACTGAAAATGTATTGTCGTTGAGGAACGAATATAAAATATCATTCATGTATTTTGGAATATCTACTTTATTGAATTTGTACAGGAGACCATGATCCCAAATCTTGCTAAACGCCTGCAATTTTTCCGAATTTAATTTATAAAACCTACAGACTGGAAAAGAACCCCAATAAGCAATTCTATAACAAGTCAATTTACATAAACATTTTCAAACCTCTACCTCAGATTGAAGAGATTCGCTAAAAAAACTTCTATTGAAAAGTTTAGTCAGTTGTTCACTGCTGTTTTAATAACTTGTGGCTCTGTTTTGAAATCTTATGTCCTTTCCTAATGCTTTCCCAACTGATATAATTCTCGGAAGATACACTGACCTTCATGCCAGCATAGTAATGCTCATTTTCATCTCCAAAGTAACTGAATATTAAATAAGTGTGAAGGTATTAAATGTGCGAATGAAACAGAAAAAAACATACCAATGACATCTGTGGCGTATCTTGCCAACTCGTCTAAAATGTCTCTATCTTTTCCATCTGCCAGTTTATCGATGCATTCCAAGAAGATATCCCCGCAATGGTCCATTTCATCAAACATCCATCGAAGCTTTCCAGAACTGAAGATGGGACTCAATTTATTCCTTAGGTACCGCCACTTGTTCCCTCTTAATAGGAATAGGTGAGCGTCGAGTGGATTGACTTCCTCGTCGATCAGGAAGTTCCTGTCAAAGAAGTGGTCAAATGAGGATATGAGTACTTGGTGAATATACTCCGGGTCACGAACCATGAGGAACGGAAGAACAGTCTGGAAGAAACCTCCTATAGGCTTGCCTTCCAATTTTTTATATATATTATCCCAACTATCACCTGTAAAAGTAAATTAGTTTATTCTTTGCAGAAAGGTATTCCTATCAGAATATCTACACTAATTTAAAAAAAATACTTTCGAAGATAAGAGAAAAAGACAAGGAAGACAAAGTAAATTAAAAACCAAAATAGCAGAAATAAATTTAAAAAATACTTATGTCTATATATAAGGAGAAGCCCGTTCTTAGGATTATTTTTTTTTATATTTGTTTATTTAGACATATTACATTCTGTCACATCAAGGAAATTTATAATAGTGTTCAGAGAGCACACTCACACTCTATTTACAATAAGTCAAAATAAATAATACAGAAACTAATAATAATAAAAATAAATGCACAGACATTTGACCGGGTATGGCATTCCGGGCTGCTCTTCAAGCTTAAAATCCATTTACCTCAGTCCTTGTACCTAGTCCTCCGATCCTACCTCTTTGACCGCTCCTTTCGAGTTCGCTTTGGAACAGAATTTTCCAATATCTACTCCGTTAAAGCCGGTATTCCCCAAGGCAGCGTCTTGGTCCCGTGCTTTACATCTTCTTTACTGCTGACATCCCTGTTCATCCCGATACTTTCCTTGCAACATTCACTGACGACAAAGCAATCTTATCATCCAACTCTGGTCCCGAAATAGCATCCTTAAATCTCCAAAGCCACCTTACCTTGATTGAGCACTGGTGTAATAACTGGCGCATTAAAGTTAATGAATCTTACCTTTACACTACGACGTAATTCTTGTCCACCAGGACAGTTTAATTCCATCCAGCTTCCTTACTCAGACACAGTCCGATATCTTGGCTTTCATTTAGACCGAAGACTAACGTGGAACCCACATACTAGACTTAAAAGATAAGAACTCAACCGACGATACGGCCAGCTATACAGACTACTAAACAGAAAATCTACAAGACAATACTGAAACCTATATGGACATACGGACTTGAACTGTGGGGAATAGCAAAATTTTTTAACATCAAACGTATTCAATCATTTCAATCTAAAGTCCTTCGAACAATAGTTGATGCTCCGTTCTATGTAAATAACAAAATCCTTCACCATGACCTTAATATCCCATTTGTCCTAGACCTTATCCCAGAAAAATTCTCCAATTTTCACCAGAACCTTACCTATCATCCAAATCTCCTTGCACAATCTCTATCCAGCACCATCCATCCTTACAATCCTCCTCGAAGGTTGAAGCGGCAGTGGCCCAGAGACCTTCTGTGAATAAGCATATATTGAAGTTTTGGCAATGGCCGGATCCTCCACTCAAGCCAAGTATGTGTGATTAGGGATTATTTAGATTTATATTTTAGCCAATATCGTAGAAACTGCCATTCTTACGGATATGTTATAATGATTACCTTCAATTTAACAATTCCAGGGGTGTCCCTTAAGTAAGAGGGGATATTTAAAGAGTCGATTTTAATGGAAGAAAATCTAAATGGAGAAGGAGGCAGGCCTAGACTACTAAGATGGAAGGACGATGTTGGTAATGATCTAAAGTCACTGAGAGTGAGGCATTGGAGAGAATCAACGGAGGATCGGTCTAAGAGGAGAAAACTTGTTGGGAAGGACAAGATCCTTCTTGGTCCATAGTGCCGAAGGAAGAAGAATAAGATATTAATACTCAAGATATTAATACTCATTTATATTAATACATATAAATTTTCATATAAACAATGGTCAGATGTTTTGCAGACAAATATGAAATATATATGTTGTGTTTTGCAGCGGTGCGCAGAAGGGGGCTTCATGGCGCATGTTATGCCATCAAAATTCTTGAGGGGAGCACATTTCGACCGGGCTGTGAATTTTCGGAACCAAGAGTTTCAAAAGTAGAACTAGGAGGAAACCATAGCACAGACCACAGCAAGTATAATTGTATTTGATCTACGATTAGTCTAATCCTACTTTGGCTTGCAATGTTTTTAAGAAGAGAAGGGTAATACAATTTTTATAGGAGGAGGAACGGTTCATGCGTTACCGACCTTGAGGGGGATGGACACTTCTGATGTTTTTTAAGGAAGCAGTTTGTTAAGTTACTTATTGAATAGGAAGCGATAATTAAAACAATATATAATATATGTAATTCTTTTAACTACATTTATTGAGAGATATTACAATTTGTCACAAATAAGGACATTTATAATAGTGTTCAGAGAGCAAGTGAAATATATAGTGAAATATATTCAATTTTAATATTTACATTTATATTCATGAAAACAATTGAAGTAATACACAAGCGTTTTTATTTTAAACGTACGTGTTAGGGTTAGAAACATACTTGGTCACTTATAAATACTGATCAATTTCTGTAGTAGGGAGGGATCTGTGCAAAAACCACAGTTTTATCATCACTTTAGATGATGAATAGTCGAAACATTTTTTTTTTTTTTTTTTAGAAATGAAAAGTGTGTTTATGGTTATTCTAACAGGTTATGGTTTATTGTAACAACCATGAAAACAAAAATCTGGTGCGCGCAACACAGAACTTTCACTTACCGCTCAACTTTGAATAATTTTGTCAATTGGGTGTCTGCAATAGTCTACCCATATCAATTTGTTAACATGTAACCTTGATACTATGTGAAATATATTCAATTGTTACCAATTGGAAGTAATTATTGCCAAATAACTAAGAATATTAGACAACTTCCCAGGAAAAAGAAATTATTTTCTGACCATGTTGGGCTGTTGGCTGCAAAAGATTACATCTAAAAAATCATAAATTAAAGTAACAAAAGTCCTATAAACTAAATAAACTAAAGGTACTATTCATCAAAATATTCACTAATTTAATTTTCTATAAAGTTACTTGAAAATTTTTCGAAATAAACGTTGATAAGGACATTTATAATAGTGTTCAGAGAGCACATTCACGCTATTATACTCGCTTCGGCGGTATATATACTAAAATTGGAACGATACAGAGAAGATTATTAGCATGGCCCCTGCGCAACTCTGAACACTATTTGTAACAGATTGCAATATCTCTCCATAAATGTAGTTCAAAGAAACAAAAATAATGTAATTAAAAAAAATCTGGTGCGCGCAACTCACAACTTTCACTTATCGCTCAACTTTGAATAGAAATTATTTTCTGGCCATGTTGGGCTATTATAAAATTTTTTAATTGCATTTTTAACTGAGCTGAAGCTAAAAGATTACAGCTAACAAATCATAAATATCATTAAAATAACAAAAGTCCTATTTATTACAACAAACGTTGATTATGGATTATACGATTCGTTGATTATGGATTGTACGACTATTAGTTATTAAACTGTTGTTTTCCATTGCAAAGTTTACTAGAACGGAATTAAGAGATTTCTATTGTCTGTCATAGACAAGTCAAAAGGTTATCAAATTACTCACTAATTTAATTTTCTAAAAGGTTACATAATGATTTTTCTTAATAGGCGGACGATATATACCTAATTATTTAAATATAATATCAGATCTAGAGTTATTAAACTACATTAAATATATTTAAGGTTATAAACGTATCCATGATTTTTTTTTTTTTTTTTTATATTTCACTTCTTCTTTCACACAAGTACAATGGAATAATATCTTAAATAATATCATTGTCTAGAATCTGTGGGTTTTAAATACTTTCTCAAACTTGAAAAAAGGGTTTATATTTAGTACGAAAATTCCATTTAATTTCCTTGAAAAGACCTGATTTATGTTAAATAATGTTAGTTTTTAGAAGTCATCATTTATATTTTCACTCTCCGTTACCTTCCAAAACTTTTTATATTATATATTGTGTTTTTTTAATTCTCCGCTTTCCTACTACATATATTATATGTATATCTTCTGACTATTATTTCCGGAGATTCATTTTCTTTTTCCTTTTTTTCTCCCTTATTTAATTATCAAATTCTTCTAAAAGTTATATTTAGCATTTTTTCATAACTCCTAACAATGACAAATAGTTATTATTTATGATAAACCAAACTAAAGTTAGTTTAGATTAAGACCTGATAATGTTGGAATTTCACATTATTAGAAGTTAGGAAAAAAAAAATGCTAAATATAACTTTTGAAAGAATTTGATGATTGAATGAAGGAGAAAAAAATTAAAATGCTTATCCGGGTCGGAAATGAATCTCAGGAAATAACAGTCAGAAGGTATAAGTATAATATATCGTTGGAAAGCGGTGAATTTTAGAAAAAAAAAACGATGTCTAAATATCGAAAGTTGTAGATGGTAACGGATAGTGGCAAAAAGATTATAAATAATAGTTTTTGAAACTCAATAATATTTAACGTAAATTACATGTTTTCAAGGAAATTAAATGAAATTTACTAACTAAATGTATACTTTAAAACATATTTTTAAGTTTGTAGAAAGTATTTAAAATCCACCTAATCAAGGCAATGACATCGTTATAAAAACTATTTCATTGTACTTGTGTGAAAGAAGAAGTAAAATATAAAATCATTTCATGGATGTATAAAGCATATGTTTATAACCTTAAATACATTTACTGTAGTTTAGTAATTATAGATCTGATAATACATTTAAATAATTAGGTATCAACGTATATTCCGAAAACTTGTCAAGTAACTTTTTAGAAAATTAAATTAGTGAATATTTTGATGAATAGTACCTTTAGTTTATAGGACTTTTGTTACTTTGATTTATGATTTTTTAGCTGTAATCTTTTGCAGCCAACAGCCCAACATGGTCAGAAAATAATTTCTTTTTTCTGGGAAGTTGTCTAATATTCTTAGTTATTTGGCAATAATTACTTCCAATTGGTAATAATTGAATATATTTCACATAGTATCAAGGTTACATGTTAACAAGTTGACGTTTCGGGATATTTACTCCCATCTTCAGAACTACAATCCCAATAATCTTGTAGATGCAACGTTTAAAAATAATAACAATGTGCTCCATCGTCAAATTTCTAATTCATGTTATAAAATATATCATCTAGAGTAACATCTTGCTTTAGACCATTGGGTGTCTATAATAGTCTACCCATATCAACTTGTTAACGTGTAACGTTAATAATATGTGAAATATATTCAATTGTTACCAATCGGAAGTAATTATTGCCAAATAACTAAAAATAATTTCTATTCAAAGTTGAGCGGTAAGTGAAAGTTCTGTGTTGCGCGCACCAGATTTTTGTTTTCATGGTTGTTACAATAAACCATAACCTGTTAGAATAACCATAAATGCATAAACACACTTTTCATTTCTAAAAAAAAAAAAAATGTTTCGACTATTCATCATCGAAAGTGATGATAAAACTGTGGTTTTTGCACAGATCCCTCCCTATTACAGGAATCGATCAGTATTTATAAATCGTTAAAATAAAAACGCTTGTGTATTGCTTCAATTGTTTTCATGAATATAAATGTAAATATTAAAATTAAGATATGGTAACTTTGGAGCCTCTTGCAGATCGGTGACATCTATTGGTTAAAAAATTTCTGTACTAAATTTTAATCTTAAAATGAGAAGTAAGTCGAACAAGTTGGACCTTAATTTTTTACTTAAGTAGAGCCATTAACAATACACAGCGTTACGAGCCATGGTTGGGATGTACAAACACTTTTATTACGACCAAAAATTTACTATTAATTAAGAATCTGTAAGTTATAATATTGTTTACATATGAGAAAAAACATTTATTAATTCAATGTATACCACAGTTATACCCAACTTCACACACAAGCAGCCTGAATTTCTGATTAAAAAATGTCGAATAGAGTCTTCAAATAACTGCAGTTCATCAAAAAATTAAGGCTCTATCTAAAATTTCTTACTTAATCTCCTAATAGTACTAATTGTAGTAAAATAATATTTGTTTTCTTATTATTTCTTACCAACGAATTATAATTTTTTATTAGATTGGAACATAGTAATAGTACCATTATTACTCACAAACATGTAATCTGAACAAAACACCGTCAGGATCACTACCCAGAAGAAACTTGGGTTTGATGTAGGGTATATTTCTATCTTCGAAATGTCTGTACAACTTCTTGATTGTATAGTAAGCCAACCCCAGCAAAGACAAGGCTGCTATAGTGGCCAACATCAACCAATCCTGCCAAGACATTTTTTTATCCTGGAAAACGAAATTTTAATTAACACCAAAATATTAATGATTTCACGTATTTTTTATTTAATTATGTTGGATTAAATAAGTCTATAAATATTTGTTTTCTTCTTCCACATCTTAAAGTCTTTCTTAAGTTGTCAAATGGCAACCACGCCAGCAAATATATTATGGGCTAATTGAAAAAAGTCATTAAGTGGTATTTAAAAACCTTAAATCACTAAGAACTTTGATGAATTATTTCGTTCATAAAATCTGGAATTCCCTTAATTTTTTTTATATAATCGCAAAACTTTGCGCTTGTTGTAACTATATTTGATTAAAAAAAAAGAATTCGTGCCATTTTAGTGCACTTAATTTTTTTATCGATAAATAAGTTAGAAATTCGCTAAAACGTTCTTAAACTTTCAACTCCATCTAGAATGCAGTTAGTGACTTTTAACCAGTGTGCAATAAACCGGCTGTATGGTACCATGAATATACTCTTAAATAGCTATTTTAACTAAATAAGAAGGTGTTTATCGGGGGGTGCGGTCAAATTAATACTAAATTAAACAAGTAGAATTATTTAATTTTTGCCGACGTTTAGACCCACTTTGCAAATTTTCATCAGGGCTCAAAAAGTACAAAACTTGGTGAGAATAAAATAAATGAATATAAGTAGATATAAAATAAGAAGGATAGATTATTAAGTATAAATAACTCTATAAGAAAACAATAATTATAAGAAGAGAAATTAAGAATGTAAGTATAAGTGTAAAACAAGGCTACGATAATAAAAACAAGTTGTAAAATACAATAAAAACAAGTTTAATCATCATAACCTTGTTTTACACTTATATTTACATTCTTAATTTCTCTTCTTATAATTATTGTTTTCTTTTAGAGTTATTTATACTTAATAATCTATCCTAACGATATTAGACTAATGTTATCCTTTTAATCTTTCAATTTCTTTACTTCTTAACCTTTATTCTCGTTATCTGTTTTACCTACAATCAAATGTAACCTCCACTAGCTTGTTATCCACTGATATCTTATTATTGTTTTATCTTATTCTTATTTTAGCTTTACTTTATCAATACTTATTCAATTTACAATCTATTTATTCGTTAACATTGATTTTCTTTATATGTTAACCTACATTTATCAAATTTAATTTTTATTAGTTTGTTATACACTCATTCCTTATCTTTTATCGCAATCTGTTTACTTTTAACTTACATGCTCCTTTATTTTCTATTTTTATTCATACTTATTTCCATTTTTGTTTGTATCTTCTACATATAATACTTGATATTTTAACTACATTGTCACATACTATATCTCTGATATCATCTTTTTATTTCTATATCAGACAGCTTATTCTTATTTTATATCTACTTATTTATTTTATTTTCACCATGTTTTGTATCTTTTGTAGCTCTTTATTTATTTATTTATGCCTCCCTTCCTTGCCTTTCGGCTACACGGGATTTTGCAGGGATGGCATATCACACACGTGCATGCCATTCCTGCTATTAAACCACAAATTAATTTTCAATTTTGTTTTGTTTTTTCAAATATCTTCTTTTTTTTCCTTATTTTCAATATATTACTCTGGTATCCTACTATTAGCAGGTTCTCTTCCTAGATTAAAGTGGGAGGGTCCCAGAGCAGCTTTCCACCCGTACACAAAATCTTTGTAATACGGGTAGTTCTGCTCCGTTACTAACTCAGGAAATTCACCTTCCGTGAGGTCATAGATTCCCATTTTTCTTATCATTTCGGCCCTTAGTCCATCAAAGGCGGTGCAGTTGACGATAATATGCTCAGCCGTCTCCGGTACTCCGCAAGTGGGGCATAGGGGATCTATGTCTTTTCCAAAACTATGTAACTTAAAGCGGAAACCCCCATGCCCAGTAAGGAATTGAGAGACCCAGTAGTCCGGGAGAACCCACTTAGCTTTCAAGCGACTTCGGACGGTGGGGAAATATTTTCTTAAAGTTGCTCCTTTCAACGTTGTTACCCACCGCCGATTCCACTCATCTATGGTGTCTTCCCGGATAATCCTCTTCCATTTTCTTGGGTCTTCTGCAATCCTCACCCGGATATTCTCCGGAAGACCTGCTGAGCCTTCTCTTTTTAACTTAAATATTAGCGAGTCTTCTCGCAGGAGAAGGTCGAGAGGTACCCCTCCTGCTAAGATCTGCACCGCCTCGTGAGACACACTTCGGTATGATTTTGTGACTCGCAACAGAGCCGTACGTTGAATTGTCGCCAATCTGCGTTTCTGACGGTGTGAGAGATTCTGAGACCACGCAGGAGAGGCGTACCTCAGAATACCCACTATCATTCCATCGTAAATGATCCTCGTAGCTGGGTATCTGAGGCCCCAAAATGCACCCCCTAGGCGACTAAGTCCATTCAAGGCTAGGGCCACCCTACTTCCTAAGTAGTCCAAATGAGGGGTCATATTAAATCCTCTTCCAAACCTTATGCCAAGGTAGGTGACCACCTCACTTGGACGTATTCTCGTTCCTTGTATACACAGATTGATAGGGTGTGCCCTATCCGTCATTCCCTTCAGCAGGATCGCCTGGGTCTTTGATGCGGCCATTCGTAACTTCATCTCCTCACACCATTGCCCGACCAGATTGGCGCACCGCTCTGCTTGTAGCTTTATTCCGGCTCTTCTGTTTGACGCTACCACTGCCGCCAAGTCATCGACGTAAGCCGTAGCAGGGAACCGCTCATTTTCGAGCACACCCAGCAACTCATCAAACACTAGCTTCCATAGAGTCGGACCAAGGACTGATCCCTGAGGGCATCCCCTCTCTATGGAAGCTTCAGTTTCATAAGAGCTACCTCTGACCTTAACAAATCTGTTCTGGAGATAACTACTTATGAGGACGTATAGATTGCTGGGGGCATCGTACTTCTGTAGCTGCTGAAGTGCTCGCGGCCACCAGACACTATCGAAGGCGGAGGATATGTCAAAAAGCAGCAACATGACATACCGCTCAGCCTTCTGTTCAACGTCCGCTTGTACTCGAAGCAGGGCATCAGCGGTTCCCTTTCCCTTGGTACTACCGTATTGCCGCGGATGGCTAGCCCTTGCGAGAACTGGTCGTAGGCTGGTTAAGATGAGTTGCTCATTATAGGGAGGAGACATATAGGTCTATATGACTTTGGGAGCTGCTTATCCCTGCCTCCTCCCTTGTAGAGGAGTCTCAAATCGGCGATCTTCCACATTTTTGGAAAGTATCCCCGATCCAGGCAATCATTGAAAATCCTCAATAATCGCTCATCAATGTAGGGGATACTGTTCTTTAAGATACCCGCGTCTATTGAATCAAGTCCTGGAGCACGTCATGTTCTCTGCTTTTCCACGGCAATACGTAGATCATGTATATCCCACGGTGGGCATAAGTCCGTGCCAGGAGGGTATAACGTAGAACGTCGCACGAAAGCTTCCTCCTCATTGTCCTGGGATGGATCATCTCTGGGGTATGTCGCCTTTATGAAGATGTTAGCCGCTTTCTCGAAGGTGGTTGCCTGCGCATCTCCATACTTAAGAGCTGCTATTGTCTGCGGAGGGTTGAACTTACCCATAGCGACTCTGTATGGGATACCCCAAGGATTCTTCGAGGATTCTTCTGCAATAAATTCATCCCAGGACCTACGCTTTCGTGAACGTACCTCTCTTCGGTATACTTTGGCTTTGGATTTATACTCGTTGCGAAGTGCAGCGCGCCTCTCGTCACATCTGCACTTCTGGTACGACCGCCGTGCCTTGTAGAGCTCTCTCTTCATTGTTGTTAAGGCCGGCGTCCACCATGGAACTGATCGAGCTCTCGCTTTCCGATGTTGGAGGGAGTTTTCAGCGGCATCGAGGATAGCATTGGTGACCAGGGATACCTTGTAGTCCAGGTTATCTGTGATCTCCGATTCTGCTACTTCCCAATCTTCATCGGCGAGTTCTCCCTCCAACATGCAACGGAAAGCAGTCCAGTCATTTCTGCGGGTTATGTAGCCAGTGTTGATGCCGTGGGAACCTTCTGAGTACTGAACCAGGCTGAATGCCAATACTTTGTGGTCAGAACTCGTTTCAGATCTGGTAGTCCAATCGACAATGTGCCCTATAAGTGTCGGCGAGGCCAGCGTGACGTCAATCCAGCTCTCACCCATACCTCCAGAGAACGTAGGTGGGGCATAGACATCGTTTATGACGACTAGCTGGCCTCTAGAGATAAACTCGTTGAGTTTAGCACCTCTCCTGTCTGTTCGACTGGACCCCCAGACCGTGTTCCAGGAGTTGGTGTCTGAGCAAATAATCACATTTCTATAGTGGGCTGTGATAAATTCCATGGCAGGAATGTCTTCTTCAATATCTCTTCCGTTAGGAAGATAGGCCGAAACCAGGGTAAAAGATACATTACCCCACCTAATATAACATGCCACACTATCTGCCATAGAGTATTGCCTCAGCTCCATCACGTCGAGGTTAGGATTGTTTATCACAATAGCAGCCCTAGGCCTCCTCTCTCCACTGCCTAGAGCTATAACCCTCGACGTGAGACAAAAACCTGTGACCACGTTCCCACGGCAGGTCGGTTCCTGGACCGCCATGATATCAGATCGTTGGGAAAGAGCACGAAGCTCATCTGCCACAACTCTTCGCCGGCCCATGTTTAACTGGAGGATGTTGATCTTAATCATAATATGTCCTTTTCTTTTGTAGCTCTGATGAAGACCTGCAAAATGGGTCGAAACGTCGGCAAAAATTAAATTATTCTACTTGTTTAATTTAGTATTAATTTGACCGCACTCCCCGATCAACTCCTCATATTATATTAACTGTCAACCATCTCTACATCAATATTTTAACTATAAATGTTCTAATAACTAATACAACTATATATCAATGAATAACAGACAAACAATACTATACATATCAGTAGTATGATTTTGATCCGGATTTGAATTTTAAAAAACATTGAATATGTCCTTGCATATTTGCTTAAATA